GCGGAGACATTGCTGGAAAGTCGGTCCGACTAGCAGTACTAGTAGTACTAGTATTACTAGTAGTATTAGTACTACTACTACTACTACTACTACTACTACTACTACTACTACTACTACTACTACTATAGTACTAGTACTACTACTACTACTACTACTACTACTACTAGTACTACTACTACTAGTACTACTACTACTAGTAGGACTACTACTACTACTACTACTACTACTACGACTAGTACTACTACTACTACTACTACTACTACTACTACGACTAGCACTACTACTACAACTACTAATACTAGTATTACTACTACTACTACTACTACTACTACTACTACTCCTCCTACTACTACTACTGCTGCTACTACTACTACTACTACTACTACTACAACTACTACTACTACTAGTAGGACTGCTACTACTACTACTACTACTACTACTACTACTACTACTAAGGTTCTTGGCTCTCAGTTGTGATCTTTTCTTCGTGCGTGAAACTTTGGGGCCCTGCTTCTAGGAAGGTAAGCTCACTAGCTGGATTCCGGTCCTCCAATCTGAACATTGCACGTAGGCTGCAGGATGGCTCTGCACCGTCGCATGCGCACACAAGCACTTCTGTTTCTAGCCCTGAAAGCAATAGTGCTCCCTCCTCGCGGGGCGGGCTCCTCACTGCCGTGGCCCGATACTCAGTTGCCAGACCTGCTGCACCAGCCTGAACATATTCAGACTGTCGCTGCACTGACCCGCAATCCGAACAGCTGCAGGCATTGTTCAGCCGGTTCGAGCATTTTAGGCTCGCTCACGAACGCCGAAGGGGCGTGGCACAGCTGCCGCTGCGACCGCTGCAGAGGCTAAGGCCAAGCCTGAGGTGGCATCGCCCTCGTCTCCGTCAGGGCTGTCGATGTTTGGGGAGTCAGACGATGAGCCGACGGCTACCAGTACAGCAGGACCGCCACGAGGGCCTCCCCCACCGACACCGGTCAATCGTCCGGTGGGAGCTGTTGATGGAGCTGTGGCACCGAAGGCGGGAAGGACCAGCGGACCGAGCGGCCCCAGCAATCCCGGTGGTCCGCCGCCGGTGCCCACGCCGGGGCACCCGACGCCGTTTGCGGCCCCTGCTCCTCCTGGTGTCCCGAGTACGCCAGTGCAGGCCTTCGAGGCGTTCAGGGCAGGGCTTGCGGATGCTTCGATCGAGGTGTCGCACACCGCCACCGGCTCTGGTCAGCGTGGACGACTCTCGGTATCGGTGCCACACGATCTTGGCTTCGAGGTGGAGATCATCGTCAGGACGCATCCCCGGGACCGAGTCTAGGAAGGCCGCACGTGACAGGTTGATTTGCTCGAGCAGGGTGCCAAAAATTTCTTTGCTCTGCTCACTCCATGTAGCTCGTGCAGGCGTGCTGCAGACATGCAATACGATGCCGTCTAACTCAGGCGCCATGTCGGGACTTCCCTCGGCTACCAATGGTGTCCTACACCCAGTGTGGCTTGAGACTAACGCCGCTCTTGACTTCTGTGCTCACACCTCACACCGCAGGAGGCTGGCCGGGTCGCGGTCGCCTCAGCTTTCTTGCGTCCGGCATGCCTGAGTTGTACCACCCGGACCCTTGCACTACCCCAGGACCAGTTGCCGTTGGCCGTTGCGGTGCAACCTGCGACTGGTACGTTGGCCCAGCTCTTGCAGCCTGTGCTTCCCAATCACAGCCAGGCTCGACTGGCCCTTGTGTCCTGCCAGGTACCCAGCTTCCTTTTGACAACAACCATTGGCCTCGGGCTTGGATCTCTTGCAGTGAAGCCGATCTTCGGTTGTACCTCCTCGCCAGACTGTCTTGCATTCAGCTGCCTCAAAGCTCTGAAGTAGGGGGGATATTGCCTTGCATATCGCATAGGTGCTTTGGCAGATTCTTGCAACAGCCCGCTAAATGGTTCCACCCTGTTAGGTGTCCAGCTCGACCCGTAGACATACACCCTCCCTGTCCTGGCTGTGTCGCCGCGGAGTGCCCTCGCCCGGTGCATGGTCCCTCGCTCCACGCTGCGATGCGCAGCGGGTATAGACGTCAGCGCTATAAGCCAGGGCAGCGTGAACGCCGGGCCAATCGAGTTGTGAGAGAACTCTTGGAAGAAGCTGGCCAGGACATTGGCTCTGGTCGCGCCTTGCCCCCCATTACTCGCTTCCATCCACGGCTTGCTCAGGCCCCGGCTACCGCAACCACCGATGATGAGTACGAGGAAGTGGAAGTGGAGGATGAAGCACCGGCCCTGGAATCGCAGGTTGGCAGCTCATCGACAGCTCGAATGGCACCAACGCCTAAGTACAGGGCCAGAAACAGGCATGCCGTTCTTCCACAGACTGACGTGGAGCAACTGGACTTGGAGGTAGGAGCGGCGTCTCCTCCCCTCCCTTCGATCTGGCATGAAGAGTCTGTTGTTGAGGAGGTCCCACAAAAGGTTCTGGTACCAGGCTCCGGGTCACAGCAGAGCACAGCAAGCCCTGCAGGAAGCAAACTGAGCCGGGAGCATATCCGACGTATGTCAAGGGCGATGGCGCGACGTGCAGCTCGGAGGTCGCCTTGGCCTCGGTGGCTCTACAAGAAGCCAGCTACTATCCAAGGAAGGCGGCATGGTGCTCCCCAGACCCGACGCTGGCGGGCGGGGCCCGTGGCACAGGGGCTGAAACGACGCTGGTCACCAGCATGGCGTCGCATCTATCAGGAGTGTAACCGCACCTGGCAGCTCTGGCGGATCGGGCAGCCCTTGCCTGTTCAGGACTACTGGCGCTTGGCATGCGCCTATCGTCTGGTGTACCCCAGAAAGGAGTGGGCGAACATCCAGAAGAACCTGATGCGCCTCACAGGTCATGCCAGGTGTGTGCATATTTGTCGCCTGGTGGAGTCTCATAGGCGTCTTGACAAGCGCTTTGACGCTTCCCGCTTGGCTGCAAATTACTTGCCTGCTGTCGCTGCGTTGGACTGCCGCTTCTGTGCCTCCTCCCCTAACGCACCTCCTCCAAGCTCTGGTAGTTCCCACATCCTCTACTCAGGCAGCAGGTCACGGACTGGCGTCGGGGCGTCAGCTACCTCAAAGAGTATCGACACTTACCCTTGCGAGAGGTGCACT